GCGATGGAGGGAGGACGCAGCAGCAGCGGCCGCTCCCATCCCGTTCGGACGTGGATCGTGGGATCAACTCGCCACGCCCTGATATGCATCATGGGAGATTGGTAAAGTCACCTCCGAAGGCTAGGCGTCCGCCCATGGTCTCCAACGCCTCATCCTCGTCAGCTGGCTCGTATACGCGCGATGCCCAGGGCAGAGCGGTCAATGTGGCGATGAAGAAGGTTGATGGTATCGTGGAGCGGAGCTGGGGCACGCGTGAGCTTGGGGAGGAGGGGGTGAGGAGCTTGAGCCCGACTGGGTTTGGGAGACGGGCTGGTGATTAGGCAGTCGGCTTGCGAAGCGTCCTGTTTTTGAACTTTTTTTGTTTCCTCGTGCAAAGGCTTTCGTGGTTCGGACAGTGCATAGATTTTACTTTAACCTCTATTATTCTTGGGATATACTTTGGCTGCTTGATTTTTGGACCTTACGACCACACTACACTCTGCTCTGCTGTTACTTTATCGTAGCCTATTTTTTGATATTTATACCTTACTATGTTCAATACCAATGCTGGATCTCGGGGATGTTTGGACAAGCTTCTTTGATACTTATGTTCTGGAAACTACACAGGATGTGACGTGGATGATGAGAGTGTCCTTGGATGGATATACATCTTGCAATGCGGTCGGCTACCACGGCAGTGGCAAGGGGATGGGCAGATTCTTTCCCAGGACTCGTTCTGCTTCCCCAATGTCCCTATTCATTATACTTGAATCTGGCGTATCGTTGACCCTAGAGGAACAATGACCTACCTCGGACCCCGAGGTGCCCAGAAGGTTCCTGTCTTTTCATGAGTGATGGTATAGATGAAATCCACCGTAGATTGTGCAGCTTCGGCAGGCTCGACAGCTGCTCTCGCCAAGTCTTGTCAGAGCAGATATCAGGGATATAACACACCACTTACCACCCCCAGATTCGTAGAATTGATCGAACCCAACACCCTTCGTCATGTCAGTCTTCATAAAACCAGGCTGCCAAGAAAAAGGGGGTATGAGAAACCTTGGAGATTAAGAGGCGGGTGCAATCTCACATGTATCATGGCTACTGTGACGCCTTTATCGTACAAGTCATTTGCGAGCAGCTTCCCGACCATGTTTGCAGCCGCTTTGCTCCCATGGTGCCCATAGTTCCCGCCGCCCTCTTCCTTGGTACGCAGACTGATGGACCCTCCCTCGGTGGTGATAAGGATGTACTTTGATGGCGAGGCTAACGCGTCAGCCTTGTATCTAGATGGCTATAGGTCAAGCCATGAACAAAACTGAGAAAAGGTCCGTACAAGTGATGGGCTAGAAACACTGGTGCTATGGACACGACTTTGTACATCTCTACTTCATCGGCGAAGCTAGGATTGTCGAGCGTCTAATCAGGACCGCGATTGTTAGTCTCAGTATTTCAACATCTCTGAACATCCCACACACCTCTTTCTTGAAGACACCCGCGTTCACGATAACGAGATCCAGCTTTGCGCCCTTGAGCCCCTGTACAACCTTGGAACCTGCATCTTCTTTGGACATGTCGATACCAGAAATGACGTCTACGCCTTTAGGCAACGGCTCGGCTGGCTTCGAGCGCACGGTAGCAAACACCTTATGGCCGTCTGCGCGAAGCTTTTTACTGAGTTCGAGCCCCAGACCACGCGATGCACCGACGACTAGGCAGATAGACATGCTTCCTGGTTGTTCGATGGCTCAAGTTACAAGAGTCTTTTATAAGGACCTGCCACCCAATTGCCGAACTTGCAATAGTGACGTCATATCACTATCATTACCTTATTTATAGCTCCTCAAATAACCCTCTCATAGACGTCTCCAACTCGGCTGATCGAGGCTTTATCTGACATTGGAGGGCTTCAGATGGCTGCGGGGGTCTTCAATCAGACATTTTGAGAATTCGGCAGAATGGGAACCCACCAAATGAGTCCTCCGAACTCGACTTCAGGAGTTATTCTTCGCCTGTAGCCTCGTCGATAGCCTTCGTGATGAGGAAGAAGTACAGTGTCGTAGCAACGACGAGGAAGACATCGTTTTCAGCCAGGTGTATCCCAGGACAGACACTATTGCGGAGTGAGCCAAAAGCGTGAAATCATATGGAACGACACCTGCCGTCGACCAAATCCAAAGGCACTCATAACAATTTCAGCAGGTCCTTCGGTTTCAAAAGACCCGTCAGACGTTAGGAACCTCTCGGGCCTCAACGCCGAAGGGTCAGGGAAAGCTACAACAGAACTTGAGGAACCGACTTCCAAGCCGCTATACACGTCGTCCTCAGTGATAAGATGATGCAGACCTAGTGCAGTGATTATGATGAGACCATTCCATGCATCACCATAGGAGACAGACCTAACGGCACTATGGGGTTCCACCTCCAGACTTCCTTGACCGGAGCAGTCACGAACGGAGGCAGAAATGAGCGTCACTGACTCTCGAGCATGCTCAAAAACCCCTCCTGGGGCTTTCAGCGACTTCCCCAGGAACCTGGAAAAGTCCCACCCTCGATCAATGTCAAAGATGTACATCAGTGTCACTGAAAGGCTTACCTGAGATTCTCAGCCGCCTGCGCATTTTTCAGGGCACTCCCTACCTGGTTATCGACGAACTGCCTCGGACCGATGAACCCGTTAGAAAATCTCCTGAACTCCTTGAATTGTAAACTCGGGGGCTCCTTTATTCCATCCGGCGCTACACAGTGACGATGGGTCAGGCACGAGGGCCGGAGAACAAAATTCCGAAATGACGTACAGCTCTTCTGCCATCATGGTGGGCGGTCGACCAGAGCACAACAATCTTTAGAATAGGTTAGTACGGCACCGTACTCATGGTTGAAAATACGAGACTGCGTAGCACGTCCATCTAGGAGTTCAGTAGCGGTCTTGTATGAGGAGAGAATGATGGCGGGTGCGCCAAATATTTGATATAATGACATCCCCTGTCGCAATGTGAGTATATCGTTAGGGTAAGGGGAAATAAGTACGCGAACGCACCGTACAGTTCTTTCCAGTTATCCCCAACTAGCCATTGCCGATCATTAGGGATCTGGAAGGCATTGACTATGAATGGAAGGCCCAAGGGACCAGAGGATCGTATCTCTCTGGCCTTCCGTCGCGAATGGAGAAAGATGGTGAATGCGAGGATCAGGAGAAGTGTGATTTTCACGCCAATGGAAACATCCGTATATGCCGCGAGGTCTCTAGCGTACTCCGTGACTGTAGATAGGAAATACCAGACTGCCAGAGAAACATATTGGTTCGGAGCTCTAAGAGTCAGCAAATGGGATATTTGTCGGAAGTGGGAAGCCGTCCAGTGAGAAAAGGATGCAGGGTTTTCGGTACTTGGCTGTCATCATGGGCCATGGTGGGAGTGTTGCCTTCGTGACAACTCGCAGACTACGGTGCCTCACACCGTTGAAGGCCTGGAAGGAATCGGTTAAGCACATAAGGTTAGCCACGCAATAGCAATACTGCGCTCGTTCGATTGGGGACGCGTATAAAGAACATTTTAGTTCGACATCTATACAAAAGCCCATTGGAAAGTTAGGAAGTCCAAGTGCAGCGACCATGTCAACTTCTAAATATCCGCCGTAAATGCTGTGAGTATGGGACTCCAGAATAGTAGGATTCAACGACTCACTGTTGTCGACCAGATGATGGGTGTACGAGTGTGAAGGACGATCACTGCCACGGTCAAACCTTGACCAACAACCAACACGTTCCCCCGTTAATCTCACTCGCGATCCTCACTCAGTAGTCTTCATTAGACACCGCCTCGCCCAACCCATCAACAATGCCGCGAAAAGACACGGGCGGTGGACCCATCTCCGCACAGGCGCAACAAGATCTTGTTTCTGACGGCATCGAAAACTTTGAACTACCCAAAAGTCTCGTCACCAGGATAGCAAAATCCGCCGTATGACTCCTATAACGTATGCCTGAAACGTCTGCTGATGTTACCATCCCATAGATTCCCGAAAACGCGAAGCTGCAGAAAGAGACGGTACTGTCACTCGTCAAAGGCTCGACTGTATTCATAAATTATCTGGGTGCGTCGATTGACCATTTCGGCTTGCGCTACTATTGACCATCCACACTAGCTGCAACGTGTGTTCTCTCTCTCTGCTTGCAGTCCACGCATTAACGCGTCTTCACCCAAGTGCTCATGATGTCGCTGTCTCAAAACAACACAAAAGCATCTCCGCGTCGGATGTCCTCAAAGCGCTCGAATTGATTGAATTCGGTGATCTGGTCGACAAACTACAGGGAGAACTACTACGTGAGTACCCTAGTTTCACGTCGCATTCTTCACTCCTAATACAATTGCAGTATATCGACAACACGCCAAGACCGACAAGACGAAGAAGGGGCCCACCACCTCAGTACCCTCCGGCAAGGTCCGACCACCACCCGGCGCAGCTACCGCACCAGCAGGTGCCAAATCGAAAGGGAAGGAAAAGATGGTACCAGGACCACTCCCGCCGCCGTTCACCTCAGCACCTTTGGCATCACATGGAGCTGGAGAATCAGTATCCTCGGGCGTCAGGGCGGCCATGGAGGTAGATTGGGAGGAGGAACTGGGCGAGGCTGCTGACGCTGCAGATACGGAGGGTGAAGCGGAGAGGGGCGGTTACGAAGACGACGTCGAAGCCGACCTGGAGGACGCTGTGGATGATGCTGATTTGGTTAATGCCGATGATGAAGAGCTCGATGAAGATGAGGCTGACGAGGGTGATATACCCGAGGATCCGATGGAAATAGAAGAAGACGAGCCAAGGAAGGATGCTGCAGGACTGGAGGGCATGGTAGAGCAGCCTCTCAACGAAGGGCCATGATGGTATTCATTTCATGACTTGTATATGACTGTAATTTTATTGGCAAGACCAACAATTCCTTTGTAGAATCCTTCTAGGCCCTAGAGGCTAGGGAGCCGAGAAAGCTATGAGTACAACATGGGGATATTGTGGGGTAAAAAGGTCTCTCTGCCTGGGAGTCGAACCCAGCTTTCGCGCGCACCGTATTCTGTAAAGCATACACATGACAAGCGCGTGTACTAACCGATATACTAGCAAAGAACTTGAAATCTATCTCCCGAGGTAGCTCATCTTCATAAGCTATATGAAGGCTTGCATCTATGCGCCAAGGCGCGAATCAGAGTCAGAACGTTCAACGCACGAGTGTAGACGAGTGTACTAGTATCTCTCATAAGGATATTATCTTAATCTGCTTCAGCAGTCCGGCAGCAGGCGATCCTGAATGCTGATGAATATCTCCTGGGTGCTGTGATCGAAACATGTGAGCACTCAAGTACTCACCATTCTATACCGTTCAAATCTATCATTCATCTTGACCTACAATCTATCTTGACCATTTACGCCTGTAGGCGCGCTAGTCCATCTTCATCAAGCAGACATCACGAAACTTCACAATGGGATTACTTACGCCCACATAAACACAGCAGATTTGCGAACAATCAGATTCTCTGGATGATTTCATAGGCTGAAACAGGATCCCACCACGGTGAACCAAGATAACCTCTATTTGCCCCCAGGCGGCCTGTGACATCGGAAGATCCTGAACAGAGATCACCGATAAGATGCGAGTAATGAGACGGTATCAGGTGCGAAAATACAATAGAACATAAGGGCATTCATGATATGCCTTTCCACTGCCTTGAACGCCAATCAACTGACAGAGATTTTCGAAGATGGTCAGAGAGATCATTCGGCCTTTCCTTATGTTGTCAAGAAATCTTATGTACCAGGCTAGTCTCACTGTATCAACCGTCCATCGCCTAATTTCTAGCTCCTAAGGCGCCATGGCCATCCAATATCACAAGGCATCGAAGCCCTTTCGATAGTGTGGGCGGCGCCACAATCGAAAATCGGATGGAAGCAACTCAAAATGATCAACATCCCAAAAACGAACTTTAGCGCGCTGCGCCTCCAGCTCGTCATATTCGCGATGACATCGCTCTCCCAACCGACAGTGGCATATCAATCTGATATCATTCAAGTCGTCAAGCACACCGCCGTTGACCACTGACCGGAGGCTCACCAACAAGTAGTCCGAGCGTAAAAGGCATAGAAGCCCGCTATAAAGAGCGATGCAGTAGATTGATTTTACCTCAGAGAGCTGGTCTTTCCCCCGTCGAATCCACATATCAACAATCCAAAAATCCGAAATCATGCGTGTCGCCTCTTTTGCATTCGTCGCATTCATCGCCGCACCTGTCCTTGCACTCCCTCACACCATCCGAAGGGAGTCCGACGCGCGGCGCGCTTTAGCCAGGCAAAATCCAGTCACAGCGCGTGGAATGACAGACTCTGGTGTACAACTGGAGGAGCGCGCGAATCGCCCGACGCTCAAAATCGAGACTAAGAAGTCGGTCTCCTCATCATCCAACCTAGACTTTACTGACATGACCTGATTCCTAGTCCATGCGAATCGGGGGAATACGCGGCCATACCAAATATATCCGGACTGGAATGTTCGCGTCGGCAGCCCTACGCCTTCTTAGTCGGGGGATATTGCTATCTTCCCTCCGAGAGAGATTTCGCAGCTATGGGACCTGTCGAGAAGGGTACCTGCTTCGTCTTCAAAGCCAAGTAACCTTTGCACACCAGAGATGCTGGACCATGCCATCCGACCAAATACCCTATAGACAGATTAATGTACAGATTATACAACACGTACTATGCAATTATACACGATCACTCTAGATCTATATCTTCCCCCATCATCTTCGCAAGTGCATCATTCCCCTGATCAACAGGAGCCTGATACACAGCAAACGCCGTCTTCTTCCTATCGCCCGGTCCCTCAGAAAGCTCAGGCGCGCTCTCGCCATCAACTGCCACTTTGCCTGTAGACGTCCATCCATGTCCTCTATCAGCGAACACCGCTGGACTCCTGTCCAGTAGCATTTCCAAGTCCTCGTCAGGAAGGACCCCCGCCTTACCCTCCGCGGTGTTGGGCACAACATCAATCTTCTCGCCCTCAAGCCGAAGTAACGACGCAGCCATCTCAGCCATCGTCTCCGGCTTGCTACGCCCAGCTGCTGCAGCAGGCATCCTGAATTTGCCTGAATGAGCGCAAAAGAAGTGCATGAGCTTGAGATATCGCATAACATCGAACAGATGTGGAGACGTACCCTTCGCGATGACAAGCGCCTCAAGCTTCCGTTTCTCGGTAGCGCGCTGCATGATCTTCGTCTCGATCGTGTGCGCGCTGATCAGCCTGAAAATCAGCACAGACTTCGTCTGCCCGATGCGATGCGCGCGATCCTGCGCCTGCGCATCCATCTGAGGATTCTACGATGGATTGATGCATCAGCATCGTAAACGGCCACACGAGAGATATTCTTACCCAATCCTGGTCATAGAAAATGACCGTATCTGCAGCAACGAGATTGATACCCAACCCGCCCGCTCGGGTGCTAAGAAGGAAGAGGCACGGAGCATCAGGGGCGTCTCCACCATTTTGAAAGATGTTCATCTGTTCCCGACGTTCTAGGGGCCCCGTCGAGCCATCGATGCGGCATATCCGCCAGCCCATGAACTCGGTCGCCCAGTCCTTTGAATAGGATCAGAGATGTTCTATGACGTCTAAATTACGAAGGGGAGGTTACCTCGATGATATCAAGCATGGTTGTAAATTGACTAAACAAGAGAACTTTATGCTTCCGCTTGAAGAGCTCTCGAAGTAGTCGATCCAGGACCATCATCTTCCCGCTGGCGTTGACAAGGTCGTCATTCAGCGCTGGCTGATGCGTCACGGGATCCAAAGGCCAGTCGAAGAGGAACGGATGCGAGCACACTTTTCGCAGCTGCATAACGGCATTCTGCAGCTTCATGTTGTTCACTTGTTTCACTGGATTGTCGGAGAAGGCCGTCAGATGTCGTCTCTCGGGTGAAGGAAGATAAAGTCACCTGTCGATTTATACTGATGCTCCCTCCCGAGCTGCTCCAGGTCCTCCTGACGCTGCTTTTCCTTCAAGCCCCGTTCGTCCAGTTCTCCTTTCTCCAACATCTCGAAGTATTCATCGTCGTCTCCATCGACGGCATAGCTCTTCCTCCCGCGTTTGTCTCCGGTGCTTCTCAGGCGTCGCGGGCCAGTCTCGACTGGTTTCTCTTTCTCGGTCTCCTTTGCAGGGTTTTTACCTATCAAATACGACCGCAAGGTACCCGCGAGGACTCTATCATACGCCTCGCGTTGTTGAACGGTGAGTGGGGCATAGAGTACGTATTCCTTCTTAGGAGGAAGATTGACTTCGACATCGACCTTGAGGCGGCGCAGGAGGAATGGCTTGAGGATCGCATGCAGCGATGAGATGACCTGGGAAGATCGTTCGGAGCCGAGGTTCGTCTGCATGGCAGGTAGATTAAACCTGCATGAGTGGAATCAGTATCCAGACCAACGCTTCGACCGGTCGGCACGCACCACTCCTGGAATGAGTCCACATCATTAAAAATATCGGGTAGTATAAAATTAAGCAGGGACCAGAGCTCCGCGAGGTTATTCTAATGAACAATGTCGGAGACATTAGCATGCCGCTGGATATGAAGACATGAAGAACACACATGGAGCGGGGTCCCAGTTAATATCATCCGTCCAGCCGAGGTGTATTTCTTGATCTCCTGCATAAGCTTGCAATCAAGATTCTTCAATCGGTGCCCTTCATCCACCACGATATAGCCCCAATCATACTGTGCAAGGTGTACGCGGTCCTTGATAATCATTTCGTACGTCGTGATCACGATAGGGAACGAGGAAATCACGCTCTCCTCATCCTCGGAGTCATTCGGTGCGTCTTCAACTTGTTCTACTTCGGAGGCGTGGTCGGCATCCGATTCGTCAATCTTAGCTGGTTTAGTGAACCGCCCACTACGCCGTGAGCCACGCTTAGACGCAGCTGCCGATTTCGGCGGACGCTTCGACTTCGTCTTGCCTTTGCCTATTGGGCGACCTTTCGCTTTCGGGTGGGCCTTCTTAGGGCTTCGTTGGGACGGGAGCGCCATGACCGTGCGTCGTAATTCAGCGCGTTCGGCTGGTGTCCCGTGATACATGCAAACAGGAATCTGTGCTCGTCGTCAAATATAGCAGCGGCATAGAGAAGTAACGCGACGTACAGACGGGGCAAATTTCTTATATTCGTCCATCCAATTATGCATCACGCTTAGTGGGCAAACGACGAGGAAAGGCTTGGTGTTCTGGTGTTCGCGCAGGTATGCACTGAATGCAATCGTCTGTAAGGTCTTCGAGGGCGTCAGGTGTCGATTTGCCTGGATAGTTTAAAGTACGCACCTTCCCAAGGCCCATCTCGTCGGCTATCATGAAAATCATCAGAGCGAGAACGGGCGAAGGCAGAACACATACCTAGGATACCAGATATTCCATTCTGATCAAGAGAAACCATCCACTGCAACCCTTCGAGCTGATAGTTCTTGAGTGTAGCGCCAGTAATGAGAGCAGGCTGCTGAAAAACGGGGGATTCGACCTCTCCGGCGCCTTGACGTTGAGGCTGGCCGTTTTCCGTCTTCATGCGTTTCGAGGTGGAAGGCTCATTGTCGCTGGACTCGTCACTGCTCTCTATGAGAGCACGTTTACGGCCCTTTCCACGCTGTGTTGCAGTAGTGCGCTTCGAATCTGACCCGACTCCTTTAGCTTTAGCAGCCGCCTTTGCTTTTGCGGCAGCCTCCAAGTTCGCCTTGTCCTCATCCATCCGTGCCTTCAAAATGCTTGAATATACAGCAGATTTCTCCAGAACAAACTTAAGTCGCTCGTATCGTCTCTCCGTCTCCTAAACAAGAGTCAGCTTTAGCCCGCCATGGCGATGATTTGCGTACCTCGTCAACCTGCTCCTCTTCATCTTCGGATTTTTCTGAAGGATTCTGTATAGATATTTAACTCATCTTCATCTTACACGTAGAGTGCTGGAGCAACTCACTGGATTAGCCTCTGAGTCATCATATTCAGATGCGTCCGCTGGTGGGGGGGAGGAAGGAGCCGTGCTCGCTGGAGCAGACGACATGTCAAACTGGGGGGAATGCGAGGAGATAGGGCTGGAGGACAT